TCCAAATAACCATTTCCAGTTATTTGTTGTGTCCCAGGCGCAGCGTGACTCACATTCCAGACAGTAGTGCGATTTGAGTGTTGGGTGTTCAACTCTTCTCACCGTTTAAAGATCCACCTGTGATATCTAACCCATATCCGTTTCCTCAAGTTGAGAGTAATTGTTACTGAGCCTCACTGATTTCATTCATGAGGTAGGCGTGTGTGTGTGTGTATGGTGTTGTCAGAGGTGATGTGTCAGTATTTCTTTTCCCGTACTACCTACTTCACCTTTTCACGTCTATTGAGTTGTATAGGTCCGCGTCAATGCTGACAATGATGACAAGCAATAGTTTTGCAAAAGGATCAGTGAGAGTACAAGCCTCCCGCACACGACACATGCCAGCTGTGTCCGTTTACTCAGACGTTTCCCCAACCTTCAGAAAGTATGTAACTGGTTGAAATCTGGAGTCTTAAAAGCGTTTTGATGGTTTATGGGAGGATAAAACATCTGACCCAAGAAAGTACCAGCTAACTAACGCTTCCGCGCTTCGTTTAAACACCCTGTAAAATACGTAAAGTAAAATAATCTTCTTTCACTGCACTGAAAGCAGTAGCTATCAATGTAAGCAAGTGTATCAGGTTGCCTTTGCTTACATGTTGATGTCATCTAAATGCATTTATTGTGTTATCCAAATGTGTGCAGTAGATAACTGTATCTGCATTAAAAGTAGGTGACTAGCCAGTGCTTTGTGTCATGTCATGTTCAAGATGATTTTATAGGAAACAAATTGCTCCTTTTGTGAGGTCGGTGTCCCTTTTTATGGCTATAATCCATAGTAAATAAGAGTCTGTGTTGTTGAACATATTCTGTATGTACTAAAGAGAAAACATGAAGCTGCGATTCATGTTAATATCCAATGTTCCATATTTTAAGTGCACAGCTGATCGCACATTTATGTATGAAGCAGTTTATGTTGTATGTATGCAAAAATAAATGTAAGTTTACCTGAATGTGAATGTTTGTCTTCTTTGACTGCAGGCTGTAAACTTTATTGCACATAAAGAATTATACACCATAAACCTTATCACAACTCAGTTCTACAGACATTTTATCATGTTTGTTCATCTTTATTCATGCTTGCTACAATAAAATGATGTGAATATTCTATATACTCTATCATTTAGATAGTGCTTCATGTCTCAAAGCACCTATGCCCTCATTTATATGGACCATGGGGTCCTACTGGGGTTGTTTGCACCAAAAACAAAACCATCTTTACCACTGAAATTATCTGTATCATTGTTTAATTTATGTTTTGCCATCAAGATTTCCCTCTTTTACTTTTATCAGTATACTGTGTATGTGCTTTCCTCTTTCTATCCCATCTTCTTTTAGTAACTTGTAAATGAACTGTCCTCTCTGCTGGTGGAGCAGGCAGCATAGTGAATAAACATTTTAGAGGATTTAATTTAATTTAATTTAAATTAATTGAATCTGCCCTGCTGGGGTGCCTTTTGAGCAAGGCATCACAATCTTCATGGAGTTACAACCATTGACAGTAATGTATATACATTACAACATTAGGAATTTCTTCGTACTGAGCTGCACCCTATTGGCCGCAGTCATAAGGCCCATTTGCACAGAACAGTGTGCTACCATCATTCGCCGTTGGAGGGCAGTGGTGCTGCTTGGGAGTCAGCTAACCTGCCGTAGTTGTTCACAAGAAGAAGTATGTGTACTGACGATGGATCCTCATGGGCCCTTTTTAGCAATGCAATGTCACCGGTTGTAAACACGGTGTCAGCGCGTGTCTGAACAGTGAAGGGACTGTCTTGTGTTTCGTGCTTTCACCGCACAGGTAAGTGTGTCAACCACTGTAGAGGAACGAACCCTTTGAAAGACAAACAGCTATGAATCAGCTAAAAGCTAAAAGCTAAAAGGCTAGCTCGGAGTTTTCTGGAAGCGTCCGCGAACGACTGTTGCTATGGTTACACTGTTGTCCTCCCTTCGCTCTCGGACTGTTCTTGTTGTTAAGGGGTTTGTTCAAGAACAACCGCCGCCTTAAAGTTCACTAATATCCCTAAACGTGTCTTTATTTAGGGGCTGCAGAGGCGGTGGACGACTTCACAGGATGGTGCAGCTGCATGTGAAGCGCGGAGATGAGAGCCAGTTTCTTTTTAACTCCACTGTGGACGCGCCACTGGAGACGCTGATCCGGCAAATTACAGCCATCTACAACGGGAGACTCAAAGTGGACAGATTATGTTCAGGTGAAAATGTCCCCACTGTTTTATTCTCAAGTGAAGATCAGTTTTGGTTCAGGTGGATTTTCTGTTACACTAACTGTAACTGAGTCCAGCTAGAGGGAGCCAGTTGGTCATAATCAATAACAATACATGTTTAGATGTTGTAAAGCACTTGTGTTCAGTAGAGAAAGATCTCAATAGTGCGCTACAGGGAAACGCCAAAAGAAAAAGAAAGGACACTAAGGGCAGATGACACATTAGAAATCAGCTTATAGCAGAATAAAAAGTACAAGTGATAAAATACATTAAGAATTGAAGGGTGCAGGTAGTGAAATTAGAAAAATCTAAGGACAGCTTAAGATATAAACTTGCTTGTACGTGTGTGAACCCTTCAGAGATCCCAGAGCTGGCAGACCATGGCATCACGCTGCCCCCCAACATGCAGGGGCTGACAGAGGAGCAGATAGTGGAGCTGAAACTGAAGGATGAGTGGGAAGACAAGTGTGTGCCCAGCGGAGGGCCAGTATTTAAGACTGATGAGGTTGGGAGGAGGAACGGACACGGTGAGACTGTGACTGTAACTTCGCATTCAAACAGTATTCTTCATGTTTGTGTGTTTTCCCCTTTTTGTCCCGTCTTCTTTTAGTAACTTGACTCTTAAATTCATTATTATAAAAGTAGACGCACTGGCAATCTTCGTGTTTTGTAAAATCAGGCAGTATTCATAAGTGGAATACCAACCTAAATGTTCGAAGTCGTTTCAATCTCAAAGTCAAACTGATGTTGTTTTAAATGTATTTTGAATTTTGAATTGCTGCACTGTTTATTCTGTCTCTTATTGTCCTTATTTTCTTTATAATTTTGTATATATTACTTTATAAACGCCTCTTGTGGCTTGCAAATTCTGCTGTTAAATAAAATAACTATACTAGTAATATGTAGTATACTACTGTAAATGGTGTGTGGTGATGCAAGCAGAAAAAAAGATAATCATGTAATCTGAAAATTCACCTTTTTTTTCTTCTACCAGCTCCAAATGATAAAATGAAGGAGGTGTTGATGAGAACGTTGGAGGATGCAAAGGCACTCATCTCCAAAGTGAGTATTAGTGTAAACACTGAATCTTAGATTGTCTTGCTTACCGAGGCTCAACACTTTTGATTCAATCTCTCTTTCTCTTCCTCTTCCAGAAACAAGTTCAAGCTAATGTTTGTGTTACCATGGAGATGGTAAAAGAAGCCCTAGATCAGTTAAGGGGTGCGGTCATGATCGTATATCCCATGGGGCTGCCTCCTCATGACCCTATCAGGATGGAGTTTGAGGACCGGGAAGACCTTTCAGGAACACAGGTAAAAAGCTGAACCTGTTTCAGTAATCCTAGCAGCTATTGGCTGAGGGCCAGGTGAAATTAGTTTTCAGTCAACAACAAGGGCATAAGTTAGTATGGTGTGGTACATTTGTCTTCACTGTCTCTTTAACTCCCCCCCCCATTCCTCTGCATCTGCCCTGTCCATCTGTCTGTACCTCAGGCATCTCTGCAGGTGATCACAGAGGACGAGTGCCAGCTATGGTGGGCTGGCAAAGAGATGCAGCAGGGGAAGAAACTGCAGGACTACATTGGCAAAAATGAAAAGACGAAGCTTGTGGTCAAAATCCAAAAGGTGAGTGCTATTTCAGCCAGTTAGACGCAAGTATTTTTCTGGCATATGAAAAAGCTGCGTGTGTGGTTTTATGTTTTTGTCAGTTTTGAGACTGTAATCCTTTTTTTTTTTTTGTGTTGTTGCCTTTAGAAAGGGCAGGGTGCCCCAGCGAGGGAGCCTGTGATCACTGATGAGCAGCAGAAACAGATGATGATGAATTGCTACAGGAGGCAGGAGGAGCTCAAGGTGAAGAAAAGCTTAATAAATAGGGGCACACAGTAAAAAAAAAAGTTGTAGTTAATGTACCTTTTCTAATCTTCTGGTGATATTTTCAGAAACTGGAGGAGGCAGACGATGATGGCTACCTGGACTCGACGTGGTCAGACAGACAGGCCCTCAAAAAACAGTTTCAAGGCCTGGCCAACATCAAATGGGGGCCGAGATAAAGAGCACTACCTCAGATACCCACCTTAGAGCTGCTGCTCTGACCTGGTCCTTCACAGCTCTATATGCAACTGACTAAGATGCCTTATCACAACCCTGAAATCACCTCTGCTCTGTGTTATTTGAGGTCTTCCAGATGTGTTCATATACCTTGGAGTGGGTTTGTTTCTGAACTAAAATGTGAACAAGAAATCTGGACAGTATGACATATATGATGCCACATTAAGGCAGATGTCGTGAGAAACCTGATTTATTTGAACTTAAATGTATTCCTTTACCCATTGTTTTAACCCTGTTCATTTTTTATTGTGCAAACTATTGTTACTGTGCAAACAAAATAAAATTTAAGTTTAATCTAAATTTACTGTACATTTTTTGTGTAAGAAAACAAAACACCATGGAGCGGTTTCTACTGTAGCTTGTGTATACACAGTTCAATTTTGTATGGACGTGTTAATATTCAACAAAGTCTCAGCGGTAGTGATTCAGCTGGAGCACAGTTACGTCCCTCGGAGTGCGGGGACAAGGATGCTACACCTTTCCTCTCTTTGTCAGTGGCACTCATACGCACATCTGAAAGTCGTTGCTGCTCCGAGGCAGGAAGTTGCCACGTGGTAGATGGTCATTCCAACTCCTGTCCCAGCAGGGATGAGGAAGCAGGAGAGAGGGTTGAACTGTGTTAAGTTGACAGAGCAGATGCAGTGATTCAGGGAGGCGTGGCTGGTTTCAAGGAACACTGCGTTCCTTGAAAACATCCTGGATGTCGTGTAGATTGAAAGGACAATTCCACCTGTTATACATTCAACTCAGATGATTCTTTATGGAGACTGGGATCACTTGTGGCAGGTAACATTGGAACACATACCTTTCAGTCTTAAGTTCAACTAATTTGAACTTGTATTAAAACCCTCTCCATCCACTATGAATTGTGTGGTCCAGAGCAACAGGCTCCACCTCATGGTACTCTAGGCCAATTAGAAGCATTTAGAGATGTTATCTCAGACCTTGTTACCCATTATAATAAGATTCTAGTTATTGGTGGTTTGAGTATTCTCCTGAATAAGGCCTTTGATTCTGTAAGTAAAGACTTTCTGGCACCTATTTTGTTGATACTTTTGGTTTCACTCAGTTTGTACATTAATCTACTCACTGCATCGATAGCACCCTTTACTTGTTTCCATCAGGCTGGATTAGAGGTTAAGCCGTGTTTCTACAGAAACCCAGAACGGACAAACCAAACACTGGTTGTAGATAAGGTTGTTTTTTTTGCGAGTCTCCTCCACACTTCATAGCCTGTTCAAATTCCCAGGTAATTAATACAGACGCGAGTAGTGTTCAGTTAAAAACACTTGTCCTTTAAGCAGGCTTGCAAGAGATTGGAACGAGTGGCGTGAATCAAAACAGAGTTTTCAACCTCTCATGGCAGGAGTGTGTAATGAATTACAAGCATGCTCTGCCCACTGCCAAAGCAGCATATTTCTCTTGCTTAATCAGTGACAATAAACTTACTCAAAAGCAGCTGTCCTACCTGCCTCCTTGACCTCCTTCCAACTTTTTAAAGATGTCTGGCCATTACTGGAACCTACAATGCTGAATATTGTTAATTTATCCCTTTATTTATCACAACTTTCGACTGCTAGGGTTAAACTTCATTACTAACTAATCTCTGACCTTTATTCTTTTCAAAAGTACTAAAAAGAGTTGTGTCTCAGAAACTAGCCCTATCCCCGATGATTCGATTCCCTCTCCTTCTTTTTTGTCTGTGGATGATGCAGAGATCCTAATTTACTCCTTTGTTTCATCCAGGCTCGATTATTGTGAGGCCTACTAATCTCCTTAAACCTTACATTCCATCTTGTACTCTCCACTCTCAGAATACAGGGCTCCTATTTCTCATTCCAGATGTTTTGGATCCTGATCTCCGTCCTTCAGGAAATTCAGATTAGTTTCTTTTCTCCTACCTATGTGAATGGTCTTCCAGGTCTACATGGAGAAGTTGCTTGACATCCTCCTAGATCTACAGTCTTCATTTATATTTTAGAAATGAATAGTAATCGATTATTTTGTTATTTGATTGTTCATACTGTAATTTTACTATCTTGGTCTGTTCAGTAAACACATCATCTGTCATCAGAGGGAACTGTCCTCTGTTGGTTCTCTTGAGGTTTCCTTCATCTTCCCATTGAGGGTCGAAGGATAAAGGGGGCTGTATGCTGTATAGACTGTAAAGACCCTTGAGGCAAATTTGTGACATATATGAATAAAATTTACTTGATTTAAATGAACATGGCAGCTGTGAGACTTCTATCAAAATCAGTGATTTTACCATTATTCTTTAGCAGTACAAAGTATTTTAACCTGAAATCTTAGCTTCATTTGGTGGTGAATGTGAATAAATACAAGATTTAAAGTTACAGAATTTCTAACCATCCATTTTACAGCTTTAAACCCTGTTGATCCTTTAAGCTTCCAGTACTGCAGTTTTACCTGTACATTATATTCTTCACAAGCTGAGTGCTCCTCCAAAAATGGCAAAACATATGAATGACTGCTTTACAATGTAAAGAAAACCAAAACAAACAAGCTTCTTGTTTTGTTAATAATAATAATAAAAAGAATAGGAGCTGCGGCAGAGTATCCTGAAAACAACCTGAAGGTGCTGAACAGCATCCGGGGGTCCTGGTTAAGTTAACACGAGCTGCCATTCAGATAGGCATTCATCCATATCTCCTGTATGACCATCTCTCTGCGTTCAATCCTCTCGGCCCGTTCAGCTGCCTCGCTCACATAAGTCACTTCCTCCCAGCCGTACATCGCCTTCCTTTCCGCGGCTGAGATTAAAGAGCTTTCTGTTCCCTCTTCATCATCATCATCATCTTCTTCATCCTCATCCTCATCATCTTCATTGGCGTCCTCCTGGCAGTTGCGAGCCTGGCTACGAGACTGGGGTGCGAGCCTGTGATCTCTGATCTGACGCCCTCTGCAGGTCACTCGGACTGACACTGCCAGCAGCGTGAACAGGAGTCCAATGCATACACTGGAGGTGAACAGCAGCGCTGCCATTTCTGGATGCTCTGTGTAGGAAATGAAGGGAGGAGGTGTATAAAACAAAGCACTAGGTTCATGAGTGCATACATGCATGTGAATAATGTTTACCTTTGATGTAGGCGTAGGTCAAGAGAGAGTTGCTCATCATTGCTCCTGAGTTGTCTGGCCTTTTTGACCCTTTGGGAAAAGGCTCCTCCAGATCTGTAGGAGGAGCTGCTGTGAAAATGATAAGTATGATGTGAGCAAAAAGGCCACAGAAAGCCTGGGACTGCAACACATAGCATGATGCAGTTACCTTTTTCTGTGTCCACAGTGGGAGATGAGGTGGAGCTGAATATGTAAGGGTCTGCCTCCTTTAGTAGAGCCTGCGGTACTATTGGACGGAAGACAGAGGGGGACAGTCTTTATATCGCTGTGGACAAATTGATACAGACTCTACAAAAGGCCGTTCATCAGCACGCCACTTCCCACATCCAAACCTCTGCAGAAACTGGGCACAATGGAATGACACACATATGAATGCTTTTTGTCCAGTTCTGTTGATAACCGGTTTACAAGGTTAAGACACATTGTTTTGTGCTAGATGGAGCCAACAGACACCAAGATCAGGCTGAAGTCAAATCTCCAGATACATGAACAATGTCACTGCATGACCTCACTGGCATTTGTGCCAATCGTAGGAAGTTTACCAGGATGTCAGTGTCAACCCACAAATCTGAGCTCACTAGTCTTATTATTCCCAGCGACTGTATTGTTGGGTGTGATAGGATAAGAGCTGATGACTGAGATCATTAGATTAGAATCCACAGCAGGAAACTAAAAATGTTTGCTGAAGGAACTGACACATAATGAATAAAGCAAAAACAAAAACAGACATGACGTGAGCTATCCATATTATCATGTAAGCCTAGTCCGATTTTGAAATCTCTCTCTTATTTATGACAAGGCTTGTAATTGTATCTTGTGAATGAGGAAGCAGAAAGAGTCCTACCACAAGAATAGACCACATTGAGGTACTTCCTGGTTCCTGGAAAGCAGGGGTCCCTAAAGGTCTGGTTGCTGACAGCAACAACACACTTCTGTTTGCTGTAGCATGACTTGGACACCAAGTGTACGGCCTCGTGGTTCAGACACTCTGTAGGGAACAATAAAGAGGAATTCATGTATGAGAAACACAGAGTTTGTGTGTGTAGTGAGTTTGTTAAAGTTTAACTCTAATGAAATCACCTTCTTTGGCAGCAATCTGATGTCTGCTTGTCTTTCAGCAAAGTGACTACATATCTCAGTGCATTTGAGCTAGTTTTCACATTCTAACCCATTCAATGTCCAAAGCATTGTTTAAAGCATTGTGTCATAACATATCAATGTCAAATTCTGTATAATTAGCTAAAATTACTAACAAATGATAATAAAACATAACCTTTACCTCACACCATTCCCATGGGCCTTTTTCCACAGCAAACATTGTCATACTAGGACAGTTGTACTCAAGAACATTATTGTGAGCAGTAAATTGAGATTTCTGACACGTCTGAAACTGCAAAAAGAGGCCAATAGTTGCTGCTAATTGAAATAGAGACGGTCTTGTTTGTTTACAATAATTATACGAAAGTTTCGAAATTAATGTGGCAATTATTAAATTATATTTAAATGCTATATATCATCAGTAGTGGAACCTGTTACTTACAGCTGATCACCAGTTGGGGATGCTAAAACTTCCTCTTCCACTACATTAAGTAATTTCTCAAGACATTACATCCCTGGCTTCGTTGTTCACCTTGCACAGAAGAAATAATCTGTTAGCTACCACCATTCAATAATACTGAATATCCCGTTGACTCACCAAATGGGGGTGGTCTTGTCAGGTGTGAGGGGCAGGTGTCAGTCTGGCCCAGACTTCTCCCATAGACAGCTGAATAGATGTTCAGAACCCTGGGGGGCTTACAGCGCAGAGTCATCATCTCTCCCTCACATACCACATGTCTTTTGTGTTCAGCTGAGTGAGGGGAAAAAGAATAATGATTAAGAGGTGAAGGGGATGATGGCAGGGGGAGACTGGAAGGGTTAGGACTGGGGTTTTTTGTGTTTAGCTGTGTAGCTAACCCCTTGCTAAACCACCGGATAAACTTGGGATGAGCAAGGGAAACAGGGAGCATCTGCTGATTGAATGAATGACAACAAAAAGGGTTAAGGACAGGTCAGGACAAATGTGAATTGAGCTTCTAAACTCACTTGGTTTACACTTATAGTCCACATGGAGGTATTTGGCAGTGCCAGGACAGGGGTCCTTCCCAAACAGCAGGTGGTTGACAGGCAGCTGGCAATCTCTGTGGCTCTGACACTCCGACAGCAGCTTCTGCATAGCAAACACCAGTGACAGTCAGTACACATGATCTGATGTTACAACGCACTGTAAGGACAATGTAAATCAGATGCAAAAATAATGATGCACCAAGTGGAAGACTGTGGGCTGTGCCTTCATAATCCTGCATTACCATTAAACAGTCATTGGCATTCACCAGCCAGCTCATCTAAGAGTGGTGTGTTCCCTACAAAGCTAAAACACACACAGGGAGGACTTCTCCAATAAATCAGCTAAAACTGGCGAACACCCACCAGCACACAACTAACCCAGCAAGATTTAAAATTGCTGTATATCCCGTAAAATGCACCTGTAGCGCAGTAAAAGCTGAACAGCTGTGGTTGTGGGCTCCGAGCGGAGGGTCTGCTCTGCACAGCCGCGCCTCACCACTCCCGTAGAAGGCAGACTGGATGGAGATGGTGGAGTGACGTGGACAGTGGAGCCGCAGAGGCTGTCCATCGCACGCGTGAGCAGAGTGACTGGTGATGATCCTGGACAGGTAGTCTGTTACACAAAAGGCACTGGTTAAGATGTAACGCACATGGAAACACACAGATGCATTAAAGGGAGTCCGATTTTACACATTCAGTTTACTTTCTGAAAAAATAACCCTTTAAGGTCGTTAGGGTTACCTCAGCTTGGGCATGAGAGTTAAAGCTTTTAACAGAAGAGCCTGCATTGTGAATTGGAGATGTGTGGTTTGCCAGACAGGGAGGATCTAATGAAAGATGCTATCGAGTTACATTATGGGAAATGTAGGATCCAACATTTGTGGAGCTTGGCCCATACCAGAGGCTAAAAGTCAGACGTCTGTCACTTCCATTTTCACTATTAATCTGTCTCTTGTGAGTCCCTGAACTTTATGAAAGTGCAATACAATATCGCTGGAGAACCCCTTTAAAATCCACTGAAACATATATCCAGTGTGCTTCCAGGGGGCTCACTATTAGTCCACTATTACTTACAGGGGCAGAAATAGAGCTTAATGAAAAAGGATTTTGACTTAATAACACTTTAAAACATCATCTTTCAAACCACATGTGTTTTCGGATCAGTTCGTTCGGCCTCTTTGGAGCTCTGTTCGTTGTCTCATGTTGCTTTGAAAACTCACCCATCAAAGTGCGGACTGCCAGTTCTCTTTCCTGGGTGGCAGACTCCGCCAACTGGCATTCAAGCTAATATGACCCACCTTTGTTGCATGGTGTGTAGATGTGATTAAGTTACTTCTGATTCAGAGGCCTTTATTTTTGGGATGTTTACATGATTTCTCTTCTTAGAAAAGGACTCAGAAGTGATTGAAATAGACGAGATAAAGCATTTTAAATCCTCATTTTCTCTACCAATGGACAAGACAATGAAGGGACCCCTTCTCAGACAGGTTTGCAGTTCTGTGTCAAATCTCATTTGGGATCTTTGGGATACATGACTGGTATTTTAGGAACACTGGTAATGTAAAAAGACTAGAAACCACTTATCTATCTCACCATACATGTTTCATTCCCCCACTGTAGCTAATATTACACCAAACCTAAGCAGCAACACTTAAAATTAGATGGTTTCTTGGGACAAACCCCATGTGATCTTTAACCATCCTGATTCATCCCTCCTTCCTCCTCCATCACCATCCCCACCACCACCAAATTACTTGAAAAGTCAGCCAGTCCATTCATGCGTCTGGTCCACAGGAGTAAAGTCAGGTAGAAGAGGCTGTGGCTCCAGTCTAGTCCGTGGCAAGGACGCGTCCAGCTCATGACCCGCATCCCCCGTCTCTGAGATCATATTAAAGAGACTCGAACATTCACTGTAGGCTGCAGGACGTCTTCAAAAACCAACACAAACAGGTCAAATGACTCCACGGGTCCGCGATATCCAGCTTCATCACTTCATCCATATGCTCTTCCTCCACAGAAAAATACCACCGTGAAGCCGATGGGAACACACAGCAGTGCAGAGGAGGATAGGAATAGCAGCTGCGCAACAAGTTGCTCAAAACTGACTGAAGGGGTTCAATCCGACGCGTGGTGATACTGCCTGCCCGACTCCCCTCCTGCTCAGCACCGCAGACTGCTGAATAAATGCATGTGGCAAACTAAAGGAGGCTTACTGTAACAGCTGAGTGGGGCTGGTGGCGTGGGCGTGGCAGATCAACTATTTTAAAGGGAAGAGGAGAGACACGCTCATTGGTATGACGCACTGGCAGGAGCTTTTATTTTTTCCTCTCTCCCCTCCATGAGGCACATGTTTACTTTTTGGATTATGGCAAAATGCTTTCATTCTGCGAAGCTTCTCCTTTTCTGCTCTTTCTTTTACTCTTCTGTCTCTTCCTTCCTCCTTCCTTCCTACTCCTATTAACTTACAGGTGCAAATTTAAATAGTTTTATAATGTCAGAATAAAATGCTTCTTACAGTGTGAATTTGTTTCATATTGTTTAGGTAGAGGAAAGTAATATATATTTTTTTTAATTCCTTTCTCTGCACATTTATTTTCAATTTATTTCTACATTATTTGTTTGATTAAAGCATATAAACAATAACACAAGCCTAGTGTTCTGCATTACATTTTTCTGGCCTAACAATTTATATCTGGCATATATATATCCCAAACTAAGTTAATAGATTCTATGAAAGCATAATCAGGAAGAGATAGACCAACACTCAACATACACCTGTAAGACAAAGAAAAAATACTGGCACAGCACATTGTTGTAACGTTTTAACAAGAAAGCAACCCCTTGAATTAGTAAGCAAATATAAAATATAGTGCCAGCTCCTAAAAATAGGCGAAACATTTCTTTACTGTTAATCATGCTTTGTGTGGATCTCCGCGTGTCCCCCAAAATTGACTTCAGTGGTAAGATCAAGTTTCAAGTGAATGATATTTTGATTCTGTTTCTTTTCATAAACTTTCGATGCTCTAAGCATGGGGCCTTTGAATGAAGCAGGGGGCCTACTGGGTAAATTGCGCCCCAGCCCACATCCATGACCCACTCCATGGTAACCGGTCAATCTACATGTCAGACTGCAGAGCAGACCTACAACAGTCATACTGACAGAGACGTTGGGGTCTCCACGCTCGGCTCCACAGGGGGAGAACTGGCAGGGGGAGGAACTGAGGGGTGATATTTTGCATACAAACTGGACAACAGGCCCCCTAGTTGGTTCCATTCTCTGTACTTTAGCTTTAGGCACCCAGGGAGTGGCTCCAAAACCCCTTTCATGTGCTGTTATCCCTCCAAAGCCTGTGGAATTTTGTTGTCAAACTCAAGACGTTTCCTGCACTTTGTTTTCAAGACAAGATTTAACTATATAGGTCAAAAAAGCAATTAAAAATTGCTCCTTAAATGTACCCATGATTACATTCATGGGTAGAGGTACGGTGAAAACAGTTCTGAAATATATAGATGTGTAAGCAGAGGATATTAAGGTTCTTATTTAAACCTATAGAAATAACCAACTGGAGAGTTATGACAGAACCAGTTAGTTACATAAATGTCTTTACACATACGAAGAGAGTAGAAAAAACATGTAATATGTACAGTGTAATACAACTATTAATGCTCATTTAATGGTTTGATGGATAATCAATATGCATCAGACAAACTGGATCAAAGAAAAACCCTCATGATCTGTTAAAACACAACCCCTCGAGTAGATGGCAGAAACTATAGAAACTAAAGACATAACATTTGATTAGTGTTAATGATGTTTTGTACAAAACAGGAAGAGGAGGAGATAAACTGAATAGGTCCAACCCAAGGATAGAAAGATCATGATTTACATTTTCTCCTCAACTATAGCTGGAACTGATCATAAATTAAAATATTTTGAAGCACAATTTTTTCAAATAAATTGGCAGTCTAAGGAGGTTTTCTTTATTTATTTAGAGAATTCAAAAGAGGGCGACACTCATGTGATTTGTTTAAGGTCGTCACAATTGTAGGAACTGCATTAAAATGCAAAAGGACAGATTGTCAGAGGGAACCATTATACAATGTTTTCCTAATCCTAGGCAACTGCAGCTGAGGGACAAATATAGAAACAAAGAAAAAGAGTAACAAAGATTTAAAGCTCTAAAGCAGGAAGTTGTAAACAGAAATGTGTTCAACTAGACTCAGTTAACAAAAAAGTTTGATCCACACTGTTACATGCAGCAGTTAAGTTTTCAAATGTGGCCTTTATACATTGTAGAATATAAGAAGAACAAAAGTTTGCAGATAATCAACTTAAATTTCCATGGTAAAAGGAGACTCACAAAGTCACCAAGACATGGAAACAATTAGTTTATTATTTCTCAAGCACAGAAAACGTACAACTAAAAACAGGAAAGATTTTAACATTACAAACATCCTCACTTGAAATCCATATTCATCTCAAGTTGGGAATCAATCGCAGCCTATAAATGAAGAAATAAAATGGCATTAAAATAAAAGGTAAGCAACCACGTCTCTTCCATCATTGAATCAGGTATTAAGATACTCACCAACTCTCTTTTTGCTTCTTCTATTTTCACTTGAGCAAGAGATGGACTCTGTTGCAGTTTAGAAGGTAAAAACACGACTTTAAGCCAATTACAGTAACATTAAGTTGTTTCCAAATAAATAAATGTGAACATTGTGACTCATGTCTGTCAAGCTGGTTTATTAAATGAAATTTACTCACATGAACATACACTGAATTTATCATTTATCATAAAAATATAATTTAACATAATATAACAACTTTTGGTTGTTGGACTGTTACAAGCCGAACTGAAGACAAACATACCGGGCTTAAGTCCATGTAAGGCTCCAGTTTCTTGTTCAAAGGGATTATTTCTTGCTTTAGCGCTGAGACTTCCTGCGGAGAGAAAAAGAAGATGACACATTTCCAAAGCTGAAAGCAGAAAGTGTTGCGTCTTCATTACCAATGGTGCTTGACTGTGTTGGATGTGTGTAACAGCTGAAGTTACCTCAGAGAGCTGCACAATAGCCTGGTGGGTGATAGACTTGTCCATGTTCCTGGATAGAAGCTGAGCCTGCAGGATTGATAGAAGAGAATGAAAACAGCTCCGTGACAGAGCTCTGACATGACTGCTGCTGCGGGACTGTGATATTTAGAGTATTTGGATACAAGGGGCATTAACTGTTCGACCTGTCCACAGCATCATCTCTGTGCTCTGACCCGGAGGCAGTAACTTGATGCTCACATTATACCCGGATCAAACTACAGTCTGTCTTTCTTAAAATAAAACTCCACAAAGGGAAGAACTGTGGAACGCCAGAAGATAATTGTCTATGTTTCAGAGAGCCACTTCTGCATACTCTGTACATTCTTTAGAAGCACTTTGGTCTTTTTTTCTGTGGCAACATTACTGAGCTATGTTTCAATATATCTGGATAGCATACGAGCTATTACACACTCCATTTCTTGCACCTTAAGGTTTGTCTTCTTTCCCTTTGCTTGATACTGGCAGAGGGTTTTCATTCCTCATCCTTAAATTGGGTATTTTGATGCCATTGGTTGTGTGATTTATTTTGTTTTTGGCTTGTGCTGATTGACATTTTCTCCTGCTGGTGGCTGAGCACACCAATAACTAATTCATGCCTCTTCAGGCTGCATAACAAGTTTCCATTAGTATAATTGCACTTGATATTCTCACCCAGAGCAAAACTCCCACTAAGATATGAATTTCAGAAACAAAAGAGGGCAGATTGGAAAAGGAGCACTCTTAAATATTTGGGCTTTTTCTAAAATCATTTTCAGTATATTGTACAATGTATCAACACCCTAATGCACAGCTTAACTATACGTATATTACAGATACAGGTATAACACAACAGCGTACCTCTGCCCTCTCCCGTCTGTTGCTGAGCTCTTTAGCCTTTGCCGTCACGAAATCCATGTTGAGCAGTCTCTCCTCTGCTTTAGCGCTCTCCACAGCCTGAGATTTAACCGTTTTGTTGATATCTCTGAAGACGAGTAAGCACAGCGTGTTACAGATGAAGCTCAGTATGTAGCAGCATCACAGTTTGTTTTGTGACTGGATTGTTGGCATGTGCCTACACACAGTATGTGATAGCCCAGGAATGTGTATTTGGTTTTACCAATGTTAACACAATCATCCTCTGTATCCATTTGCTTACTCTTGTAAGTTGCTCCGCAGCACCAGAGTAGCACCAAGTCTCTTTCTGAGGGCCCGGAGTTCTCTCTCAAGTCTCCTGTTCGACTTCTCTGCTTCCAGAAGTCCGTTGGTGAGGTTGTTCACTGCTGGCATAAAGCTAGACGAGACGGCTTTGTCAGGGAAACTACTGACAGGAAAAGAGTAACGCACAATAAACTTCAACAGTGCGCGGCGACAGTGTACCTGCCCAGTGATGTGTCTCTGACTCCAAGCACCATGGCGGTGTCCACTAAAGAAGACAAGTAGTCAGCAGCTGGCTTTGACAAGCTTGCACAGGACAGGCCGACACCTTGTAGAAGAACATCCTGCAGATGAGCACCTACGCGGAGGAAGAACGGTTGAGTTCTGTGAAAATGCTGTAAGGACACTGAATAATGAGCTGTACTAACTTGGGTCTTATTTCCTTATTTCTGGCATTCCTGGCAAGTTAATCGCTGACATCAGGGTGGTAACATTATTAAAAAGAAGTCCATGGGACAAGAAACACAAGTGGTCTGAGGGTCACACAGACTTTTAACAAAACCCTGTGTTTGAGAGAGAATGGA